AGCTGCCCTGAGTCCCCCTAGGGGTTGAGAAGGGCGGGGTAAAAATGTTCATAATAATAATAATAATAATAATAATAATAATAATAATAATAATAACAACAACAACAACCAGTAAATCATGTTACATGGAAACAATACATTATTCAAGAAAAGACTGAAAGACAATCAACAACAAAATAAGAAGTGAAGGAAAGTTCCTCCAAGCTACACTAGCAATTGTAATCTTTGTGTGGAATCATTGTGTAGAATTCTTAGTACTTATAAATGTCTTACCAGTGTTTGAAGGTCTTTACATCCATTATACCAGGCATTCTTATAACAGGCGTATGAGTTAATTTTATAATACTATCCTGTATGGCAGGCATGGGGCTGAAATGATGAGAGGGAATATACCAAGGGCTACCTGGTGATTTCATGGCAGGTAGAAGTTAGGAACCAAGTATGTTTCATTTCTAGATAAGTTCCTTGGCCATTGTACCACATCAGCTGTTGTGGAAAACATTACTTCCCTGCTTTTTGTTGTCATTTCAGGTCCAGGCCTGTCATCACTATGGATATCACCATTTTCCTGCCTGCATCTATTGACATCACAGCTCCGCAGTGTCATGATGGCTTGCAGCAAGTGAACTGCCTAAATGTTACAGCCTGCTTTAGTTTCAGAGGAAAACATGTCCCTGGGCTGATAGGTAAAGCATGATCCTGATTTCTAAAACAAATGCCTTTACAATTGTTGTTCTCAGAAGATTCTTGCTAAAACTTGGAAATCATAGACAAGGCTCTAGCCAACCAATAATTTGACAAACATCATGAGGCTTGATCAAGATCTTCTGTCTTTCTTATCCCATGATCTCATTTCCAAATGACTGAGACTCATAAGACTCATAATGCAGTGCCAGATAACTACAGTTTGGACTCCCATATACCATCACTTATCTGTGGGATTTTCTCCCCCTAATAATGAAATCAAGCTGATTGGTGTGCAGCCAAAAGATAGTCGCTAAAGAACAGAAAGGAAGGTTTAAGCAGGCAGAAATCTATTTGCAGAAGTCTATGTAGTAATCTATTTGCAAAAGTCAGTTTATTTAAATATCTAGATGAATAAAACCATCCACCGAATAGTCAAAATATGGGTGGCATTTAGACGTATTTAGATAATTGGTATCATACTTAGATGTTTATGCACAGACAATTTCTCATTCATGTATTTTCAATTTATTACCCGTAGACTTATTTTTTTCAATTGGTTCATCTGTATTTATTTTTGTGGGCTTTTCACTCTGATTTTATACAGATGTGGGGGAGGGGAATCTCACTTGGAAACTGGGAGTGTAATAGTAGTAGAGGGCAGAGTGTCCTAATAGTAAGAATTGTTTGGCACCCTGAGCAAGAATAATCATCATAGGAAGCAGATTTCAAGT